GCACAAAAAGGGCGAAAAAAGTGCGTTTTTGGCTCACAGTCGGGAACCTCAAGTGTGAGCCAAAAACGTCCACTTTTTGTGGATTTTAGGCTAATTTCTGTGCGGCTAAACGCGTTTTCTCAAAAGTTTGTCTGCCTGGAAGTCAACTGTTCCAAGGTGACCATGGATCACTACTGATTTATAAAATAAATCTTAACAATTTTACATGAATCGATGCGCTAGATAAGCGGCTTTCAAATGGTGAAAAGCGCAGCTTTCTACCTTGTTACTATCGAAAGTTATTCAAAAAATACCCACCCGCATTTTTTTTGAAATGTGCACTAGTTCGCTAATGGATGTATTCAACGGGCCGACTTTTCGTCAGTTGTACTTTGCAATTAAATCAGTCGGTTTTTCATTGGTTATTGCTGGTTAAATCAAGTATTCCAACCAATCAATTACCGCCCAGCCTGGTCCGGTCCGGCCGAAAAAAGCTCTATCAGTTCCAAGTATGCCCACTAGTGACTTGGCAGTTAGTAAAACTACTAACTATATTTCCTACGTATTTAATGTCACTTACTTCTCTTATTCGATCCATATTTAATTCTATGGCATCTTTCTGAATATTAAAACTGACTTAGACACGAACAAGCAGACTTGGAGATTGGTTAGCGAAACACACGAGCTATCCGTTACTTTGAGCTACATGGAATCTTTCTGAGGGAAATGTCAGAAAGATAAATTATGTCAGCCCATCTTAAATCGCAAATACCAATTAGAGAAAGTGTTCACTCTAATCCTTTTGATTTTCATTGGTGTTTTTGAGCAGAATTATATTTTCTGACATTACTGAAGGACATACCTGTATTGACAACAGTTGATATTCTTTGAAAAACAGTTTGTTCTTTTTCTTCAATTTCTTCTGGTAGAAGGAAAAGTAGTTTCATAATGGGTGTAATCGTTTGGGTATCTAAAGTCGAAGAATCAGTTGAGAACAGCTGCGAGAGAAAGTACTGGAAGCGTCGAGCCATCAAGGTCGTTGCAGACTCGTCAAAGAACTCCGCCGAACACTCCAAAATGAAATGAATTGTTCGCTCATCATTATTATGTGTCATTGTTAAAAAAATGCCGTTCATGGCAGTACCATTACCATGACGCCAATCACGACCAGAATATTGTCGAATGACGACACCCTTCGTTTCAAACTCCATCGTATGTCTGTATGTCAACATCGATACAGTAGATTCATATTCGAACGAAAATGGTATCCTTTGTGACGAAGACTTGCTCGCAACCCGAACAATCTCTTGGTACGGTAGTTGAGCATGTTCAAAAACGCCGATACATAAATGGCGAACTCGTATCATTAAATCAATGAAGGATTCGTTCGGATTCATTCTCATTCGATAAGGCAGAAGATTGACAAACATACCGATCATTGTTTTTGTCTCCACGAGTGGGCGATTGTCAATCAAGCTGGAAATACACATGTCATCAAAGCTACCATTTCCAAGTTTATAGAGAAAGGCGAAATAGCATGACAAGCCTAATTGAAACATTGAAACATTGTTCAACATGGCACATTGCATTTGTGCATTGACTACATCCGAATTCAGATCAAATTCAATAGAATAACCTCGACCAGAACGTGCTTGTGTAGTTTTTGTTGATCCTAGGAGTGCTGAATAATCTTGATACCAATCGTATCCATGCAACAATTTTGACCAGAAGCCTCGTGCTTGGTTCATCGCTGAGTCTTCGGTTGGATCGGTGAATTGAGTATGTTCGTACAAAGTGTAATCGATATATTGTAAATCAGAAGTACTTCGTTCTACTAAATCATATGCTTGTATCAAAGCGTTGACAAATGGGTTCACCGAGCCGTTGTCAAATGCAATATGATGAAACACAAAAACAATTAGATCGCCTGTATGTAAATATTCTGCATTATGGTGAGCCATTTGTATTAAGTGGCATCGGACAACTAGGCCGCGATCAATTTGAGCAAAATGAGTGACAGCCTCTTTCGTAAGTAAGGCATTGATCTCTTCGAAGGAGTCCGCACTACTAGTTATTTCGAACGCATAATTACCGTTGTTTGTAATCGGTTGAACCGTTTGTTCGATTTCACCAGTCTCTTCGTTCAGACGAACTGCTGTTCGAAGGACCTGATGCCGCTCTAATATGTTCGAGATGACCGACTGAATTCTTGGTATTGATATGGAACCACGTTTAATTATCAAAGGAAGAAGAACATTATAAATGGCTGGAAAAGTCTGGGGATTGAAATAGATTTGTTCATCAAGCCAAATACGCTTCTGAGCAAAAGAGGCGATACCTTGTAAACGTTGTGTCGAAGCAATCTTGAACACCGATGGTATCTTCAAATGCACTTCGTCGATCTTCCGGGAAGTGATCTTCTTTTTAACACTTTTAAACATTGTATTGGTTAGTAGATGATTGATAATCGATAATGAAAATTATTTGCAAAGCAAAGTTACACTTATCTGAAAATATGCAGTGACAATACATATATGTTTTCCAAGTAAATGATATAGATGAAGAGACAAAATTGAATTATATCAAAATATTTTTTTCTGGTCATCGTAGTTTACTTCTTTTGAGCTTTTTCAAACATTGCATTCGTAATTTCTATGTTTTTTGGCGCTAATCACGAAATGGTAAATGTAAATTTATACTCAGTACCGCAACTAGGTAAGACCCATTAGGTCGCTAAGTTTTCGGAAATCTTCTATATTGCATACTACTGGAAAAAACTATCAGATTCATTCTCACGGGATTAAAATGTTACAACAGATGGAATAGCTCTACTCGTAAACAAAAGTCCTTCCCTCACGATAATCGTATTGGGCGCAACGCTTAGACATACTAACATCTCAAAATGACGACCGGGGCTGGTGACGCTAGAAACTCTTTATCAATTCTTTCTGTCTATCTGTCATGGTCTGCGGGATCAGATGGGCGCGGTTCACTTTTCTCGTTGTGTACTTCAACTCTACTTCACAATTGTGTTTCACATTATCAAAGAGTATGCACTATCGAACAATTTGATGAATAGATGCTACCTAACCTTGTATTGTTACTCTTACAATTATACTTCAGTACGTGTGTATACAACGAGTGTTTATCAATACAGAGAGTAGAAAATCTATGCTAAACAAAACAGAAGGAAATAGAATTTCTTAAACGATAGTATAAGTTTTATTCTAACAAGGGAACTTCTCAAGATGACAAAAAACTTTTGGATTCGAACTACTTTTATCTTGTAGACCCTAGTGAACAGTAAAATACTCCAAGTTGATTCGCCCCCTTATTGCTTCGGGAGGAAGTTATGATCGATTTACTGATTTTTTTTGACCTATGGTACCATGTGCGGAGCAATAGTAAATGGATAACTTTGGATCTGAAATTTTGTCCATAAAGAGGTCTTATAAACACTAGAATATCCTGTAAGTTTCAAACAAAATGAATACATCCTTCTTGAGATAATGGATTTTTAAAAATCGACTATTTTTCTCACGAAATGGAAACTTATTCTACTAGACCAGTGGCGTAGCCAGGAATTTCTGAGCCATGGGCCATTTCCCAGGTAAATTTTTTTGCAGATTGGGCAACAATGGGCAATTCAAAATCACTTGGGCTATAGTTTTTGTATACTTATTAGCATCACAAACGTCATATTCCCTGAAGAGAATTAAAACAGAAAAAATCATAAGTTTTTCCGATCCATCACCCCAAAAAATCAAAAGTGAAGAGCAAAAAAAAAACGTTTTTACCAATTTATTGGGGAATTGTTATTGTCCGCAAAATTTATTGGGCAATAACTTTTGAACTATTGGGCAATTGCCCAATGGCCACCCCCCCCCCCCCCCCCCACGCCACTCCGTGCCTGTTTCCGTTGGGGAAAAAAAGCAGAATTTTCATATTTCATTTATTGAACAGTTCTTGTT